CAGGGCGGGCAAAGGCAGCGGCGACGCGGGAGAGCACCGGGGCACTGAAGGCTTGGCTGGCACGACACCCCAGGAACCCCTATCCCAGCAAAGGGGAGAAGGTGATGCTGGCTGTGGTCAGCAGGATGAGCCTCACCCAGGTCTCCACCTGGTTCGCGAATGCCCGCCGGCGCCTCAAGAAGGAGAACAAGGCGAGCTGGGCCACACGCAGCGCCTCCGATGGCGAGGACAGCGAGGGCGAGGGGGTCCCATCGGGTGCCGCCCCCATTCCCAGTTCCAGCCCCATGCAGGATGGGTGTGGGGGCAGCCCCGAGGTGACGACAGGCCCTGGGCAGGGCAAGCAGCCCCAGAAACCCAAGATCTGGAGTGTGGCAGAGATGCTGGAATCTCCTTCCAGCAAGAACGGGTGTTCCCCAAGGGTGCCAGTGGTGCTGGAGCAGGTATAGGACTGGGACAGTCATGTCCTGTCACCAAGGGCATGGCAGGAGAGACAGCCATGGGACCCAGCAGCTGCCTGGCCAAGGAGAGTGGGAGGTGTGGGTGGGGAGGGACATAACACAGTAATAAATGTGGCTCTGTCTTGGGTCTCCTGCTGTTGCCTGTGTGCGATGGGGATGCTGGCAGGGATTCAGCATATCATTGGGGATGCTGGCAGGGATGCAGGGGTGCCAGCAGAGATGTGGGGAACTTCACTGCCAGCTCTGCAGTGAGCAGCTCCTGTGGAGGAGGGCAGGTCTAAGGCGGAGATCAAAAATAGACTTTGCTCTTTTTGATAAAGGTAATAAAAGGGTTAGCAGTATTAAATTAATCCTTACAAAACAAAACCCAAGGAGGTTAAATAGAGACTGGAGGCTCTGCAAAAAAAACCCACAATGACTACAAAATAGCTGCAAAGACGTCTTTACACACCAAAGAAACTCCTCCACTCCTCCCCTCTGGGACACAGTGTCAGCGAACACGGGACTCACACATGAGAAAGAAACACAGATGCGATGGGAGCAGCCCCACAAGGAGCGTGGGTGCCACAGACAGAACTATTTACACTATGGACATGGAGCCGTGCTGGGGCCAGTCCGGCCGCAGGAGCCCCCGGGCTCTGCCCGTCCCTCTCCTGCCGGGGCCTCTCCGGCCACGGCGTTCACCGCCCAGCACTTCTTCATTTGGGATTAGTGTCCTGGCTCCCGCTCTTTGTCTGCTGTGGAGTAGGAGGACAAGCAGCTGGGGGTCTGGCCCAAACGCTTGTAGGCTGCAATGAGCTCCTGCAGCCACTCCAGCCAGTGTGAGCACCCACATGGAAAAGTTCTGTTCTTCATGGGAAGGCACCAGGCACTGATCTTCTCCCCATGGTCCAGGCAGAGCATGCTGTGGGTCAGGAGACACATGTACCTCAAGGAACAATGCCCCAAGGAACCCAAATCCTGCCTGGCTCAGGCACAGGGGTTGGCTGTGCAGGGTCAGGAGTGGGGGAACCCAAAGACCTCCAGGCACAGGCACTGGCAGAGGCTGTAGACAATGCAGAGAAGGAGGGTGGAGGGCACAAGGCTGACGAGGATGATGCCCAGGCTGTGGTGCTCAATGAGCAGGAGGTAGATGCCGAAGGGCAGGGAGCTGAAGTAGAGGAGGCAGAGGACGCCCAGGATGAAGCGAGGGATGGCTTGCCACCCCCAGGAGCGCCACTTCTGCCCAGGGCCGTGGCAGGGCAGTGCACCCAGGCTGGTGGGGCGGTACAGCCGCACCACCTCCAGCCTGCCCAGGCTCTCTGGTGGGGCGACGTCCTCTGGCACCTCCAGGATGGTGACAACCAGGCAGTCGGGGCTGGATGTGGGTTCCAGCACACTAGGGCAAAGGAGTACCTCAGGAGATAGAGGTGGACCCCGTTTCTTGGCCCGTTCACGGCCTGTCAGCAGTGCCAGTGCCTCACCATCATCCTGCAGCTGCTGCACGTCCCCACCCGGCACTGGGCTGTGCTGACGGCAGAAGGGGCAACGGAGCTGGGGGGTTGAAGTGTCCCCCGGGGGGACAATCCTGCGCAGGCAACGGGCACAGAGGCGATGGCCACAGCGAAGCAGCTTGGGCCGGCGGGCACGGGCATCGAAGCGGCTGTAGCAGATCTGGCACTCCAGCTCGGGGGACGAGGGTGTCACCGGCGGGGACATCAGCTTGCTCTCTGGCTGGGCCATGCTCCTGATGGGCTTCTGGGGGCTGCCCGTGCTGCAGGGAGGGTGTACCACTATCAGCCAGGGCTGAGGGCAGGCCCCGGGCCCGCTGCCTCCCACGCGTGGGGTCCCAGTTCCGCTGCATCCCATGGTCATTGTCCCGGTCAGATCCCGGGGCTCGGTGGGAGAGCGGGGCAGTGAGAGCAGAATGGTGGCGACAGCCCCCTCCCCTCCCCGGCCCCGATTCCAACCCCCGCCTGCTGCCACCGGGGCTGGGACTCGCCATCATCTCGGCCCCTGCTTTGCAGGGGAAAAAATCGCTCCCAGGAGCCGGCACCAGCGGAAGGACAGCTCCCGGACACATCTTTGGCCCTCACGGTTCGTGCGGCTTCCCTGGGGCCCCAGGGCCGGGACGGCTCCGAACACCGGCTCTGCCGGCGGCGGGGTCCCCGCATCCCGCTCCCCGCTCGGGGGCGAGCAGCTCTCGGTCTGTGCTCCCCGCCCCCGCTCCCGGCCCGCACCGCATCCTCTCCCGTACCTGCGCTCTGCGCCGCGGCTCCCGGCGGGGACACAGCTGCGGGGGGGTCCCCGCCGCCGGCGGGCTCGGTGGCACCGATGGGCTCGGCGGCGGCGGGCGAGGGCCCGGCAGCCCCATGGGGGGAGGCGCGGGGCGCTGCCCGCCGCGCTGCGGGGGCGAGCGCGGCGCAGGGGCCGCCGGCAGCGCGGCGGCGTTGGCCCGGTAACGGGGAACGGAGGGGGAGCTCGGACGGGCCGTGCTGGAGCTCTGCGGAGCCTCCTCTTGCAGAACCGGGCCCCGGCGGCTGCTGAGGGGTAGGCGCAGGGGTCTATGCAGGGGCGGTGTGGGGTCGGTGCGGCTGCCGGTACTCCAGGGTTCCCCGCTCACGGTCAGCCCTGAGGATGCTCCTTCCCGGCGTGGGGCCTGCGGTAGCGGTGCTCGGGGTTCAGCATCCCCGGGGAGCCAGGTCGAGGGCACTCGGGGGACACAGCACTTGACAGGTTCAGGCTGGGCACAGCCTAGCTCCCTGCACATCCCACACTGCAGGTTGTGTCTCCCAAGCCCAGTCAAATCCACCTCCTGCTGCTGCCCTTACTGGGCGTTTCCTGTAACCCCAGAGGAGAGAGGCAAAGGCAGCCAGGGATCCCCTCCTTCCTCCAGACAGGAGTGGCAGCACTGCCCAGCACAAGGACAATGGTAGTGTGAGCCTTTTAGCTCAAATCGTCCAGGTTTAGTACAGCCTGTCGCAGCTTTTATGGGAGAGGTCCAGCTCCTGGTCTGCCTCATTCCCCACAGTCCTGCCTGTACCACCTACTGCTTCCAACTCACACCACAGCCTCTCACATAGCTTGATCTCGTCCTGGTTATTTGCCCTTGAAATGTCCCCAGTGTCAACCTGATGTGCCTCGTCAATCATCTCTTGTTCTGTTAGGATAAAGAAGACTCGAGAAGCAGCCCATGCCACCAGGCTTCTGGCCACTGATGCCACTTACATATCCCCTGTGAGACCACAGCCACTGTATACTTAACCAGGTAACTGTCCCTCACCTGAGAGAGCAGGCAAAGGGCTCAGAGTGCACTGACTGACCAAGGGGTGGGTTAGGGACACTCCCAGATCTGCACGTTTCTGCTCACCTGTGCCTCAGGAGTGAGCAATCTTGGCTCAAAAACAGTGATTGAAGGGTGGAAAAAAGGCTTTACAAATTGCCACTTTTACAGCTGACATTACCAACTGCCTTCACTTAAAGGACATTAATGATCTCCTTGCCACCATCATAAGCATCTCTGGAGAGCTGTGATGCTTCTGGGAGTGGGCATCTGGGGCTGGGCAATTCCTGCCCACCTCAGGGTGGCACTGGAACTGCTCTGGCACTGGCACCAGCGATGCTGTGGCACTGACATTGGTCCAGCATCAGCAGTGCTGTGGCACCCCACAGGGGAGACTGGCTGTGCTGCCTGCCCCAACGAGTCCACAGGCAGTGCACTTCCCCAGTGGGAGAGCACCAAAACCTCACTGGAGCAGTCAGGTGGTCAGGCTGCTTTACAAGCTCACATTGGTCATTAGGAAACAAGACTCACGAGGAGGGCAGGGCTGCCTGAACAGTGCAGATGTCAGATAGCTCTGAAAAACCAAACCCCAACGTTTTTCTACCTTCCACCCAGGCAGAGATTAGACAAGGGTGAGCACAGACCCCAGACACGAAAGAAGGCAAGTCATGGACACAAGCAGAGCTGTATGCTGGTTTTAATGTTCCTAAGAACTAGGAAACAGAAATCAAAAATAGACTTTGCTCTTCTTGATAAAAGTAATAAAATGGTTAGCGGTGTTAAATTAATCCTTACAAAACAAAACCCAAGAAGGTTAAATAAAGCCCGGAGGCTCCGCATAAAAACCACAATGACTACAAAACAGCTGCAAAGACGTCTTTACACACCAAAGAAACTCTTCTCCTCTGCTCCTCCCCTCTGGGACACAGTGTCAGCGAACACAGGACTCACACATGAGAAAGAAACACAGATGCGATGGGAGCAGCCCCACAAGAAGCGTGGGTGCCACAGACAGAACTATTTACACTATGGACATGGAGCCGTGCTGGGGCCAGTCCGGCCACAGGAGCCCCCGGGCTCTGCCCGTCCCTCTCCTGCCGGGGCCCCTCCGGCCGCGGCGCTCAGCGCCCAGCACTCGCGCTTGCCATCATCCTTCCATCTGTTCCGCCGTCCTGCCCGCGCGCGCGTCCCAGCTCTGGCTGTCCCTTCCCTCGGCGCTCCGGCGTCGCGGAGCTGCCGGCTCCTCCTGCCGTGCCACGCTGGGCTCCCTCGCCCCTGGGGAGGGCTGCGGCTGAGCCTTCTCTCCCACTGGCCGCCGGGTGCTCCCGGCTCCTGGGGGCTGGCGTGCAGTTCGCAGAGGAGAGCAGGTGCCGTGGAGCTGCTGTGCAGGAGTCCCGGGCCGGTGCTGCGCAGCCAGCAGTCTCTGCTTCCCCGGCCAGCCTCCCCCGGGGCCGCCGGCACCTCTCCTGCTGCCTTCCACCTCTGCCTTAGTTGGGATTAGTCTCTCGGCTGCTGCTCTGCTCTCGGCCCAGCTCCCGCTCTTTGTCCGCTGTGGAAGAGGAGGAGGAGGAGGATGAGGACGAGGAGGAGGAAGACGAGGAGCTGAGGGTCCGGCCCGAATGCTTGTAGGCTGCAACGAGCTCCTGCAGCCGCTCCGGCGTGGGCTCCCACTTGGCAAAACCGGCGCTGTTCTGCAGGAAGAGGACGGCTGTGTTGTGCACAGCCTTGTAGTACATCTCCTCCCTGCAAGGGAAGAGCACAGGCATCAGCACCTCCCCTGGCCCCCACCCTAAGCCCTGGACACCTGCTCCTCATCTTCCTGCCTTCACTAGGACAAGTATTTGTCCCCTCCTTTCTCTCATTATTCTGAGAAAGGAGGCACAGTGCAGCCTCTGGCAGTTCTGAATACAGCAGAGGCTCCTGAGCTTCCAGAGGGAAGAAGCACTCATGCTGCAGAGCCCCATTGCTCCCTACCAGTACATGCATGTGCTGGAACCTTGCTATCCTTCCAGAGGGGACTCAGCACAGTGAGGCATCAGTCCTAAGCAGGTAAGAACTTCAGTGTTCAGGCACCTGTTGCTCAAATCTGTTGCCTCAGCAGCAGAGGCCAGCCCGCCCCACTGAGGACCAAGTCCCCACTGTCCCTTGCCTCTGCTCCCCCAGGGACATCCAGCTGCTGCCACACAAACAGCTACCAGGCCTGAGGGCTGGCAGAGGCACCAATCAATGCCACAGGTGCGACCTGTTCCAGCTGGACTTACGCCCAAGGCACACACCTCTCACAAGCTCAAGTTAGCAGTCATTAAACAGAAGTTGAATTCACCATGCTGTCTGCCCATCCTAAACACCCAGAGTGATGATGTGCTGTGCTTGTCCTTGTCTGCTCCCTGCTTCCCACTGATTTCAGCTTGGGAGAGGATATTTCTGTCACATAGCTTCAGAGCCGTGTTCCCAAAGGATCCAAGAACAAAGCCTACTTTTTGCAGACGTGCTGGGACCCGCTGCGGTACTCGTGATCGAAGGCTGGCAGGATGAGCTGGTGTCGCTTGAACTTGCTCTGCTCCATGCGCGTCAAGGCTGGCGTGGGGGGGTCCCGCCACTCAGGGATGAAGACAATGAAGGAGAGCGGCTCGCTGGAGCTCTCCAGCAGTTTCTAGTGCAAGAAGAAAAGGAACAATCTCAGCACTGACTGGGCAATGACGTGTTTAATGAGTCCTATAGAAAAGAAATGCTTCTGCTTCAAGAGCAGCGCCCAGCTGTCACTCTGTCCCTGCCCTTAGAGTGCAGGAGTGTGGGGAGCAGAGGACGGACAGCACAGCTCCATCCCAAACAGCCCCAATGGTGAGCAAACATACCTCAAAGTGAGAGACCATGGCATCCATCAGCTCCTCACAGAACGGAGGATTTGCCTCAAAAGAGCCACTTATAGGGAAGAAATCCAGGCACGGGCTGGAGAAAGAGGCAAAGATCCCCATCAGCTCATCCTGAGTCATCTCACGGGCACGCATCCACACCCACACAGAGCAAGAGAATGTTATACTCACCCCCTGGATCCAAAATACCCGTCTGTGTCCAAGAAGGCTGAACAGTACTGTTTAAAATAGCAATTCAGGGGCGAGGCAAAGCATTCAAAACTCACTCCAAAGAGCTTGTGGAGGGCTTCAAAGATGTGCACGGGAAGTGCCCCTTGCAGACCAGTCCCCTCATACAGCCCCACACCGAACATCATCTGAGGAGAGCAAACCCTGGTGAGCCGTGCCTGCACTCGCTGTTCCTGCTGCTCCCTTCACTGACCACGGACCCAGGGCCATATGTCCATGCACCCACTCCTCTAGGTATGCAGGGCCCCCTCGTCCTTTCTCAAATTCGTGTAGGTCCCTGCATGTACCCAAGAATGCTCTTTAGCGATTTTATCCAACTCTGACCCCACAAAACCATCAGTTTTCTCTTGCACCCAAGTGAGCCTTCAGTTGCCCCTCTGAGTGAAGAGCTACTGAAGGTTTCCTTCACAAAAACCTTTACCCACACCAAGGTGTCAAGTCAAAACCACAACTGCGCCCCAGTCCACAGTCCTACCTCAGCATAGCATGAGCAGACTACATACCCAGTTTAAACCCTGTGTTGCCCCAGGTTCCCAAAGCTGTGACCCCTCCCTAGAGCAAAGACAAGTTCCCAGTGCTGCCAAGGCTTTCTGATGTATGGTTCTGGTGAGACTGTACCTGGTATCGACGGAGAAGGCACCAAACCCTAGGCAGGAACTTTTCAAAGCCCGAGTCGTCGATGCAGCTGTACCGATAGAGAAGCCACTGGAAGAGAAAGCCCAGCCATTGAATACATCAGGAACAGCCAAGCTACAGTGATACATGCACATTGTGATAGGGAGAGAGAGGCTGAGGAGTAGGTGGGCTCTGCAGGGAGTTGTCAGCACATCTGCTGTCACCGTATGAGCCACCAGCTTGTCAGTAACAAGAAATGAATGAACCACCGCAGCAGCACGTGTGTCTCAGCAAGGATTGCCTTGGTTTGAGTACAATGTTCTGGCAGCACAACACTTACTCAAAGCACACAACCAACACCTGGGAAATACTCCCAGCAGAGCCCGACTCCAGCTAAGGTGAGAGCAGCTGTCCTCGCGGCCATGGCAGTGTGTGACAGCCCTGCAGGGAGCCTCTGCCCAGCCCTGCCCAGGAGATGACCCTGCCCCGAGGGGCAGCAGTGCCCCCAAGGTGCTGACACCCAGCCCTTACCAGCTTGCTGAAGTAGTTGCGGCTCACTTTGACCATCTCCCCCTTGTACCGCACACACGCCACGTTGTTCTCCATGTGCATCTCCACGCTGGGGAGTGGTGGGGAGGGGATGGCCAGTCTCACGGGGTAGCAGTACACCAGCCTGTCCTGGACCTCAGGAGCTTCTACCTCAGCTGTGCAGAATGAATAGAAAGGCAGCCTGTGAGAAGCCAAGGGTATTCAGGACCAATCTTCAGTCCACCTCGAAAGACACAGAAAACCAAATAGAGCTGAAGAGCAGGGTGGTCCTCCAAAAAAACCACCATGGTGGTCCCTCACAGATTTCGTAAGCAGCTACCTAGGTTCAAAGCCGATTCCTCAAATTAATTCAGTCTTCCGTTGCCAGAGCACAGAGAGAGCCCACTTGAAAGCACTTCTCTACCTCTAACCCACCACAACTGCAGGCAGCATACAGCCCCCCCAACACCCTGAGGCCTGTACCAAACACGCAAAACACTCGTTTTGCTGCTACTGTTTCTTATTGCAGTTTGCCCCAAACTCATCCGAAGTACAATAAAAATTCACAGGCTGTCAAACGCAGGAGGCAAAGGAATCTCCCAGCACCTTGTGGTTATCCAATGCCTCAAATTCAGGGAGAGCTCACAGATCAGCTGGAAAGAATCTCTGACTTAGAGTTGAAAGACAAGCATCAAAAACAATGGCGAAAGGCAGACAGGTGGGACCTGAACGGAGCCTGAGGAGAGCCAGGACCCAAAAGGGAAAAGGACTACAGACAGTGGTAATGAAAGGAGCAGACCCCATGGAAAAAGGAAGAGCTGACCAGAGGCAGATGTACAGACGTGAATGGAAGAAAGAACAGAGAAAAGATCAAGGAACACGAACTCTGCCAAGAAAGGGTGCACAGTGACAAGCTGTGAGGCAGGGAGGGTGCAGAAAGGTGCTCAGAACATGAGAAATGTGGCAAATGAGAATAAAAGGAGAACACGCCGCATTACTAAGGGGGTGTCAGCTGTCCCCAGGAATTCATGAAGCAGCAGAGCAAGAAAGCACGGTCCAGTGAAATGGAACTAATGCTCTGCTCAGTGTGACCTGCTCCTAACAAACTACTTCATCCTGGCAAATCACGTATTTACAGTATCTGATGTTACAGCTGGTCACAGCACCTGATGGAAGACGGTCTGTCACTGCACAGACACTGACTGAAAGCTGAGGCCTATGCTGGCTGTTTCTTACTTTGAAACACAGACTTTCTGGCTTTTGGAGACAGAGCTGCCTTCCGAACAGGTAACACTCTCTAAACAGGAACAGGCCAGACCATGGGGCATTTAACTGCAGTGCTGCAGCTCTACAGCTCTTCAAAGCTGGCTGCATACCAGAGATATTGTTCTCTTTGAGTATGGCAAGATGCTTCTCCCGGATGCGCTTGACGTATTCCAGGGATATGTAGTAAATTTTACTGCAGATGCCTTCAACAGAGTCCTTGGCTGCAGCAGACACATGGGGCCCACACTGTTTGCGCAAGTGCTCCAGGCGGTCCTGTGGAAACAGAGAACCAGAGTCTCTCACATGGCCAACACTGGCTCTCCAGGGGTCTTCAGTGTCTCCCGGCTGCTCTCCCGTGGTACAGAGTGAGGGGAGGCAATGGCCAGCTCCCTGTGCCCAGCCACACATCAGTGGTACACTGACCATGTAGTCCTCCTTGGAGGCAGAATGGTCCCGTCGCAGCCAGCTGAAGGTGTCCTCCACATTCCACTTCACCACCTTCCTGCTGTCTGGGGAAGCACTCCTGCAAAAACAGAGGCAAAATTTAACTCACGGCTGCACAGCAAGTTATTCCACCCCCCTCCAAAGTTTTCTATCAGTGGGGAATGTGGACACTGACACTTCCTCAAGGGCCATCCCTGTCACTCCCCTCCAGTTCTCTGGACAGGCCTTCCGGATGTTTGTATGACTGCAGACTGCCATACTCACTCCAAAACTTGGTGTAGCTGGCTGCTGTCCTCTCTGCAACAGGAGAGGCCCACAAAGCCTTTATTTGTCATGGCAGTGGTCCATTTTGATATTGTCTCTAATTTTCAAGTATTGCTAGGAGCTTGTGACTGAGAAAACCACCCTGTTTACAAGATTTTCCTTTCCCCCACAAGGTTCTCCCCCACTATCTTCCTCAGTTCTGTCTCCTGTGGCAGAACTGGTCAGAAAAACCCTTGTATACCTTGTATACAAAATGCCACTCTAAGCTTGTTGCTCTGTAACAGCAGTGAGTGCCCAAGCACTCACGATTTTATCTCGGGGATAACAGAAGACACTCTACACCTAGTACTTCATTGTCTCCACACACATTCAGCTCCCCAAGATTACATTTTACAGTAACTATCACTATCAAAACATGGCTCCAGCACTACTGTTTTTCTTCTGCATGTTCATAACCTTGCTTTTCCTCAATAACATTATGACCAGTGCTGGGTAAGGCAGGATGAGAAGTCCCTCTATCCTTTTCTGAACGTGACAGCACTGCAAGAAGAGCTCCCACCTGGATTCAATCAGTCGTTTCGCAGCCTCAGCATACTTGAAGAGCAGCCTCTTGGCTTCCTCCCGGAACTTAATTCTGGATAACCTGAGGTAAGTTAAATTCATATGCATGAGTCTCACAAAGGCATGAAAGCCAGGTTCAGTTCCCCAGCTTTCCTCCACCAGCATCCAAACACTTTATTAGCCAAAGGGAAGTACCGCAGTAGAACCATGGCAGGTAAATCACCAGATCAGACCAACCCAGAACCATCCCAACAAGGCGCTGTCTGTGAACGGTACCTGATGGGAATGTCATTCATGATCTCTCTGAACATGGAAGGAGACACTACTGGCTCGCAGTCACTCGGTAAAAGAGGATCTGTCCCTTTATCAACCACTTTCCTCTCCAACATCCAGCGATTAAATGACTCCCGTGGGGGGTCAATCCCTGGAGATGCACAGATGCACAGAAACGTCTAATCAATACAATACAGAAATGCCCAGTAGCTCTGATAAGGATCATCACACAAAGTTCTGCCTAATCAATTAACCAACAATGTCACAGAGTATGATCATCACAAAACGAGAACACAGGGACTAGACAGGCATGAAACAAAAGGCAAATCACTGCAGAACTGAGAAGGAAATCAAAGGAACCCAACAGAAACTCACCTTCTCGCTGCTGGCAGAGCTCACGGTAATGCTGCCGCAGCTTGAGAATGAGCTGGGACCGGAGCAGCTCCACCTCAGGGTGTGGAGAAAGAACTTCTGATGGTGCCCTCTGCTTAATCACAGCATTTGTCTGAATATCCAGGTCCCAGTATACTCTGTGCAAGAAACAAATGTCATCACGCAGATCATTGGCTAATTATCAAATATTGTATCTTTTAAAGACGCTTCCTTGGGCTGTTTCAGAAGCCAGGAAACCAAACTATCAAGACTCCTGGCAATGATTTATCCCTCAGGTTTCTCGAAGATATCTGGAAACCTGCGTGTCTCAAACACTTCACTGAGAAAGGAACAGAAGACAAATGGAGACAACTCACTCAGTTGGTCGTAGAAGAGCTGCCTGCTGTTTGTCTTCAGGTGAAACACACCATGCCTTCAAAACAGAGGTTCCTGGAATACTGGGAGAGCTGGGAACTGGCTGAGCAGCTGGGTTCCCTGGGACATCCACCTGTGTGTGTGAAAGATGAATTACTGCACCAGAGAGACAGGTAAAGGAGAAGCAGCCCAGTGAACCAAACAGTCCCACACCAGAATACCATGTGGGAGAACCTTGTGAGCTCTCCAGCCCCCCCCTCCCGGTTTCAGGCTGCACATTTGTTTTGGACCATCACACCCACCTTGGGCTTCTTCACACTGTTGCCACTTGGTGGAACCTCCTCCGAGAACCTCCTCTTTCTCTGCTTGTTCTCCACAGAAGCATCTGCCACCCCACCTTCCAGTGGCATTGGAGCCGCGTTCAGTCCCAGAGGGTCTGACTATGAGAGTCCAAACAGCAGCATGCGTCAAGCTCACCCACTGCCACTGCAGCATCCCGTTGCACTGCTCCCAGCTCCCACATGGATGCAAACAAGGACACCACTAGTCATACCTGCCCAAAGCTGAAAGACACTCTTCTAGATGTCTGTATGTTTTTTTTTTTTCTAAAGACCTTAATAAAAAAACCTCATTACAAATCACCCACACTGACTGTTCTTTCAGCAGTGCATAACTCCTGGAACAACATCACCCGACAGAAGAATACTTCCCCAGAATCATGCCAATGGACCGAGCAAGGAGTTCTGAAGGCCCTTCCACACCTGTAATCTGAGGTCCACAGACCATGAACACCCCAGCACTAGCACAGCCCCCACTGAGGTGAGTGAGCACTTACTATGACATCGTGCTGTCCCAGCACAGGCATTTCCCACAGAGACTGGTTCGTGAAGCGGTTGAAGTAGTACGGGCGGTTCTCCCGCTTGCTCCAGCACTTCTCCCAGCCAGCCTGCACCAGCTCATCTGAGAGGACAGTGAGAGTCAGGAGAGGAGCATCCTGCACGACAGACCTGCCCTGCAGGTGCCCAGCACTGTCACAGCACACTCTGAAACACACATCACTCCCAGCCTCCTCTGGCAGCCTTGCTTCACCCCCCTCCCCACTCCCAGGGCCCTGCATAATTCCTAAAGGCAGAGCTGTACCTGGCAGGTCCTGTACCAGGCGCATGGGTTTGGGGGAGCTGGGCTGGTTCTGGTTGGAGGTGCCAGGTGAGTGACTCATGAGAGACGCTTCCTCCGCAGGGCTTCTGTGATTCTCATTGGCCATTTCTCAGCAACCACACTAGAAAAAACAGAGTCATATCCAGTGTTACAGCAGGAAAGGTCCCAGATCTGCTTGGCACACTCAGGTGTAGCAATACAAGTTCATTCTGATAATAAAACAGGGATTGAACCAGTACACACAAACAGCACTTCAGCCCTGAAAAACAACCGTTATCCTGGACACAACTAACTATGAGGAATTCTCAGTGTTAAAAGAGGTTAGCCAGGGTGTTCTTCAGGCCGGCATTCAAAATATTCCCTTTTCAGCTAGATGTCTCCAAAGAGTGAAGCATCAGATTGTAAAAAATAACATACGCTCCTCTGTGATTATGTGCCACCTTCTGCCACACCAATACTACCAGCCAGGTTTCATCTGTTATCCTCAGAGACAGTTTAAATCAACTCACACACACATAACTACACATCATTTCAACTAAAGGCTTTAATTAAAAAAAACCCTCTGCTATATAAAATAGCCCTGAAGGTTCACTAACAACTTCTGTGGTTCAGAAAACCACAGGCTGGGAGTCAGGAGCTCCCGAATTATTACCCTCTGCATGTCCCAGGCTGACATGTCCTAGTCCTAGTCCTAGTTCCACAAGCAGGGCCTCAGCCAGCTGTTTTGGCCCTTGCTGCTTTTTCATCTGCATAACAACAGTTATGCAAAAGAAGGTCTGTTGGAACAATAAAGCTCCTCTTAATCATAATTTAATGTTGCCAGCTGGAGAGAAACAGCCAGGCTTTTCCTCTCTTAGTCACCACTCTTCCCCTGGGGAAGTTTCTGAAACAGCGCCACAGATTGCTCTTCTTTGGCAGCCCGAAACACATTGGCAATGAACTGGGGGGAAACAAGGCATTTTACATAATTCCCAGCTACCTTAGACAGTTAACTCTATTCAGGCTTTGGAGACATCCGACAGCACACACCAGCACAGTCAAGGCAGCAGCAGCAGCAGCACAATGCTGTGCATAGTGTACTCCTCACCTGAGTAGCACAGTACCTGGCAGCAGCAGCCATGTACAGGAGCTCTTCAATAAAAACTCTGGACTTTTTTTGGGCTAAGTCACTTGGATTTGAAGCCTTTGCTGCCCTTCCTGTGCATAAAGGCCAGTAGCTATTGCAGCAGAACAGACTGGCAGGAGCAAACAGTGGTCAAGAGCGAGTGGGCAGTAGCTCAACTGCCCACAGCATTGGCTGAGATCAGCACTGAGGAACTAAACTCCCTCAGCCCCTAGGAAGATGTTTCCATCCTTCCAGGCAGGGTACACAAGGGAAGGTGTAGGACATGGTGTACACCTGGAGTTTGGGTCTCGGCTCCAGAGCAAGCAGGTCACACCTCATGCCTGCTGCAGAGCGCAGGGCACAATTGGGGACCTTTAACGGCCTCAGCAGTGAGTGTTGTGCAATCTCACACTCCCTCCTGAACTCCAACCCCACTGCATCCTTACAGTCACTTCACCAAAGTGCCAAGGTGAGCTGGGCCAGCACCAGCAGCTCAGGCTCCTGTCAGCCCGTGAGTGCAGGGACCCCAAAGACCACAGGCCTGCAAGGCAGGAGTGCAGGGAACCTCTGTAGAAGTTTAGTCCTCCTCTTCAAACTAAAGCTACACTTGCACATGCAGCTGCTGCTGTGTCCTGCACGTTACACAGAGCACACGCTGGAGTGAACTGGTGTGTACTGGGGTAACCAGAGCTTCCGAAGTGATGTATGTCAGGATTCACAGACAGCACTGGGCACGGAGCCCTGGCCAGCTTGGATGGCACGTGCCAGCTCCAGTGACCTGCCAGTGTTTTTCACCACCCATTGCTCAAAAGAGCTGTCAAATAGGGTCACTGGCTCTGCCTCCTCCATTTATGGATAAACTGGAATGGTGGAAGTAGCCAAGAAGCTTTATCACTTGATCAGTGTTAACAAGTATTAAATCCAAGTACCCTTAAGGTCTGGGAAAAGGAAACAGCCAAACTAACAGGAATCCTGGCAGAAGCCACTCTACTTTTATGTAACTACACTGGGACTTAGACAGTGACAGGGATCCAGAGGAAGCATTTTATGGTGATTACGGCATGTTTTTTATACACCATGGCAATGCATATACAGTGCTTCACAAACACGGTACAACGCTGTCCCTGCCCAGAGAGCTTACAACCTAGAGCAGCAGCACAACCAGAGACCACAGCGAGGGGTAAGGAGACACAGAGTAAAGAAGTACAGCAAACAGGACCGGTATTTGTTTCCATTTCACCGAGGCAGAATTTTGTACAAGACAACAGCAAATGCAGACAAAGGAGATCAGCGACAGCCCCCCGGGACAGCCTCGCGGTTTTCCCCCATCCCAGAACCACGGCTGCTCCAGGGCTGGGAGCCATGCCACCGCCTCCCTCATCGATACCCATCCCCTTCCCGAGCGCCGGCCAGCGGGCCCGGAGCTGAGCAGCGCAGCGCTCCGGGGCAGCGCGGGCACTGGGGACCGGGGCACCGTATCTGCGCGGGGAAGCGGCCGGGAACCTCCTGGGGCTGCCCTGCCGGTGGCGAAGACGGCACGGAGCTCCTCGGCGCGGCGGGCCGGGGCCGTCGGGCGGCCACAGGCGCCCAGCGGGTGTGGAGAGAAGGCGACGGCGGCGACAACTCTGCAGTCCGGCCGGGAGCGGTCCGGGGGCGCGGCCTAAGCGGGGCGGCGGCCGGCCGGGCGGGTACTTACGGTGGCGGGCTGCCTGGCAGGACGCGTGGCCGTCGCTCCGTGCTCGCCGCTGGCGCGCCGGGGCCGCATCCTCATAGCGGGGCGTCCCGCGCCTGGCCCGCGGGGGCGGCTGCGGAGACAGGAGCCCGTTACGGCGCCGCGGGGAGGGGCCGCGGGACGCGCAGGCGCGGCGGGGGCACAGCGGGGGCGCGGCGGCGGGAGCGGCGGCCGTGCCGGCCGCGCTCTAAGATGGCGGCCGCGGGCCTGCGTCGCCTCCCCTCCGCCGCCCGTCCGCCGCCGCTGCCCGCCCCCGCCGCCTCCTCCTGCACGGCGACCCGCGGCCACGCAGTTGCGCCGCTTACCTGGGCGTGAGGCCAGGGGCTGCAGGCACCGGGCACAGCTGCGTCCGCCACCACCGCCGCCGCCCCACCTCCCCCTCACCCGCCCCGCCGCCGCCGCCATCTTGCGCCGGGGCCGCGGGTGTGGAGCGCTTGCGCGAGGCAGAGCCCGCGCTTGGGAGATTACGTGGCGCATGCGCAAAGGCTGCGCGGTCATCCCACCCACCCGGCGCCATCTTTGTGGCGGGCACCGCCCCGCCGTGGGTGCGGAGCGGTCGCGGTCCCGCCCGCGCTGTCGCGGAGCCGCTTAGTGCGGAGCGGCCCCGCCCTCTCACCCGCCGCGGGCGGTTCCCGGCACTGACAGGGCGCGGCCGCAGCGGTCGCCACCAAAGGGCCTTTGAAGAGCGGCGGCGCCGGGGTGGGGTGGTGGCCGGGACGGGGGGGCTGCATTGATGTGCGGGCGCGGGGCTTCCGCCGCCCGCCGGGCACAGCGGTTGCTCCTGCTGCGCTTTAGCCCGGGCCGGCCCTGGCAGCCACTGCCTCTCCCGGCGGTCTCTCGGGCTTATGACACGTCCTTCACCACGCTATTGCCGTGGCTATTCCCTGGCCCTCGGTTCCCGGTGCCAGGCGGCAGGCGCTGACAGTGAGGGACGCGGTGCAGCGCAGGCCACAGCCCGGTGGTCATTGGGGTCGCTCCCTTGCCCGCGGCCCGTGACTGCTGCTGCACGGCGTGAGCTGGAGGATGACACGGCTGTTACTGGGGGGTCCCTGGGGGCCGCAGGACCCCCTCGCAGCCGGTGGAGCTTCTGCCGCATCCACCTAGCAGAGCACTCATCCTGCCTCGGCCCCACCTCCCTGGGCAGCCGATGGCCGGTGCTGGCCCATGGCCCCGGTGAAGACGGGATGGGGAAACCGCGGGGCCTGTCCTGCGCTTTTTTTCTGGGATATCCCCGCTGCCCAGCTTTCCAAGGGGTTTCCCATCTCCCGGAGTCCTGCCCTCTGCTCCGGGGGCACCAGGGTCAGTTTAATGAGTTAACGCTGGCGCAGCAGTTCTGGAGGGGTAAGTGCTGTGTAAGCACTGAGGCTCCCGTTTTGGGCTTCCAGCAGCCCGGCTCCGCTGCCCAGAGCACCGATAACCGCCCGGGGCACAAAGGGCCGGCTCAGACCGACCCCTGAGGGCAGAGGGGACTCTGAGAAGGGACAATGAAACTCCTGCCTTGGAGCGAGTCAGCTCAGGTGGCCGAGGGGGTGGTGAGGGCAGGGGCAGACCCTCGGCATGGCTCAGCCAGGCAGGATTTTCGAGAGGGAGCCCCGGGGTGAGGAGCTGCCCATCTTTCCCGTGACGGGAGCAGGATGGCGGCATGGGGACACTCCGGCAATGCCCATTTCGGTGCTGCAACGCCGGAGCCAGTCAAGCAGCTGCACGGGGCAAGGCCATCCAGAGGCACGTCCTGCGGCGCCAGTGCTGCCTGACTTAGAATCGGGGCAGAGCCTGTGGGGGCAATCATGAGGGGTCACAGCCTCGGCAGCTTCTCTGCTTAGTTCATGTTACAGGTGGGCATGAACCAGCCCCCAGCAGCACCCCCGGCCTGGGACCGCGAATTCTGCACTGAATCTGGGATAGCTCAGTACTGGCAGAAGCTTCATAACACAGATTTGGCGTCCCCAACACCCCAGGCTCTCCTGGACGCCGTTTGCACATGTGTGCCCCTCGCACGGCGGGTGCCAGAGAGATCCACGGCCGTGGCTGTGTGTGCAGGATGCGGGGAGCGGTGTTTTCAGGGGGAGGAAGGCTTCGTGTCCAGCCGGGAGCTGGGGTGGCCAGGCGAGCCGCTGTCTGTGCCGGTGCTGGCAGCCAGCCGGGCTCGGCGGGACACAGACCTGCATCCTCCCCGTCCATCCGTCCCGCTGTCTCCTCCCAGCTGTGAGCCCGCAAGGAGTGGCAGCTGGGGACTATATAAAGGCAGGGAAACCTCAGCCAACTCAAAAGAAAGTCTTGGAGCTGGTGGTGCTCTCCCTCCCTCCTGCCTTCACGTGATTCAGCTTCCCCACGCTGGGAGCCGAGGACAAGCCTCGCTGTAAGTACCCGAACTGAGCCGGCATTGTGTGGGGGAGCCCTCCAGCCTCTGGGCACGACGGTGCCTCCGGGCCCCGGGGAAGGGGATCCTCCATCCTCTCCCTTCATAGAAGTGAAGGAAAACGCTGTGGGGGAGCCCTGTCCCATCCCATAGTCCCGGGGAGGGTGTCCTCCATCCTCTCCCTTCAGAGAACTGAAGGAAGGTGTGGGGGAGCCCCGTCCCATCCCACAGCCTCGCACGGAGTTCTGCCTGTTGCTGCGGGATGGACAGGCTCCAGCTCCCGTCTCAAACCAGCCTCGGGGCATGCGGCACATCCCGGGGGGAGCTGTGAGGGTTGCGGGACGGCCCCACGGGCGAGGGTTCGCTCCTCTGCGAAGTGCTGGGGCTCCCCGCTGCAGCAGCAGCACGCACGGGGCTGGCGCCTGTCCCTGCGGTTTGGGGAGCGGGGTGTGTTCCGGGCGGGGGGAGTGCTGCAGTGGGTGTTCCCAGATGTGAGACCCCCGGGCTCCACAGGGCCAGTGCTGGGGCTTGTGCACAGTACCCTGGGTGGGGGCCGTGTCCCTCATGGGCTGCTGGTCCAGAGATTTCGGGCAAAGGAGACCTGGGCAGCACTGCGGGATTTCAGGGAGAACAGTGGAGCCGTGGAGTGTTCCTTGGAGCTATCCTCTGCCCTGTGCAGGTTGGAAAGCAGCTGCTTCCCTTCCCGGGAAGGTGTCCCCGGGCCTCTCTGTGCTGACACCCTTGCGCGTCCCCAGACCAGTCCGTGCTGACCCTGCTCTCTGCCTCCCCAGGTGTGAGATGGCTGCCGGCAGCTGCCTCCTTCTCCTCCTTCTGCCCTCGTTGGTCACAGCCTCGCACAGCCCTCCTGGCTGTAAGATCCGGATTACTTCCAAGGGGCTGGACCTGGGTAAGGGGCTGGCCAGGATCTCAGAGTTTGGGAAAGAGGGACGTTGGGCACCCTCCTGGGTGCTTGTGTAGGGCTCTGCCTTCACTGCTCCACCGTGGGGCGGCCGGGGAGGAGTGGGGGCTGTCAGGGGCGATGCTGCCGGGAGGGCACGTCCCAGCCCAGCCTCGTTTTTCTGTGCAGTGAAGCAGGAGGGGCTGCGCTTTGTGGAGCAGGAGCTGCACAACATCACGGTGTCGGACCTGCATGGGAATGAGGGGCAGTTCCAGTACAACATCAGCCAGTGAGTGCTGCCTGCTGCCCACGGCTTCCCATGTCCATCTGTCCGTCTAACCACCCCTGTTCCCTCTGCAGGGTCAAGGTTACAGACCTGCAGCTGGCCTTTTCAGACCTGAACTTCCAGCCCCAGCAGCACCTTGTCTTCAACATCAACAATGCTTCCATTAGCCTACGCTTCCGCAGGCAGCTGCTCTACTGGTTCTTGTGAGCTGCCTCCCCTTCCTGCTGCTCTGGGTGCTAGCCCACCCCATAGCTGTGCTTGCTGGGTGCCACAAGTGCCTTGCAGTCCTGCAGCTGGCAGGAGCTGTGTGCTCCTCTCATCTGCTTTCCTGGCTTCCAGCTATGACATTGGGTCCATCAATGCCTCTGCGGATGGTGTCCACATCTACACAGTGCTGCAGTTGGCCAAGGACGAGGCTGGGCGCCTCAAGATCTCCAATATGACCTGCAACGCCTCCATAGCCAGAATGCATGCTGGCTTCTCTGGAACACTTAGGTACACCTGATTCCTCTACCTGTGTCTGGCTCCCTGACCCTCTTCCCACACCCTCAGTGCTTCCTCAGCCCAGCTGTGTGCTGGAATGGGTACAGAGCCACTCTTGTGTCCTCCAGGAAGGTCTATGAGTTCCTGAGCACCTTCATTGTCACGGGGATGCGCTTCCTCCTCAGCCAGCAGGTACAGCCGAGCATAGAGGAGAGGGGCTGTGGGATGTTAGGGCTTGGCCCTCTGTGTGTGGGAGAGGGCAGAGTTGTATCCCGCCCATCTGCTGGGCCTTGTCCTGCCTCTGCAGCTCCTCACCCAGTTCCCCTCAGCCTGGCTTCTTGCCTTGCAGATCTGCCCATCCCTGGAGCATGCCAGTCTGGTGCTGCTGAACTCTTTGCTGGACACAGTGCCTGGTGTGTGTTGTCCTGGGAAAGGAACTGGATCCCATTCACTATGGGGAAGACGGGGCTGGGCATCAGGCTGCCAGGCAGCTCCAGGGTAAGTGACACCAGCACATCTTCCCTGGCAGTGAGGAACTACGTGGATGAGCATATTGGGATTGACTACTCCCTCCTACGGGATCCATCCATCTCCACTGACACCCTTGACCTCGACTTCAAGGTGAACACTGGGACCTGCCTTGCTGGTCCTTCCCCATCCTCGGGGGATAGGCTGTACCAGCAGGCATGTTGGGCTCCATGGAGCAGGTGAGGTGGGCTGTCCCGTGGCCGTAGGAACCTTTCCTGCTCTTGGTCCAGGGTATGTTCTTCCCCCGGGTAAGAGAGGACCAGGAGCTGGAGAACCACGCGGTGGAGCCGGTGATCAAGGAGACTGAACGCATGGTTTATGTTGCCTTCTCTGAGTACTTCTTCGATTCAGCCATGCAGTCATACTTCCAGGCAGGAGTGCTGACCATAGAGCTCCAGGGGGAGAAGGTAAGGGGCACCAGACACTTGGACTGTGTGCAAGCAGGAGGGAGAGGTGGGCTGTGTCACAGAGCAAAGGAGGTGCCATTTAGGGAGCAGCTTTACTGGGAGCTGCAGCAGCAGCAGCTCCCTTCCCCTCTGGTGGTTTGTGCTCTCCACAGATACCCAAGGACCTGGAGGTTTTGCTGAGAGCCACATTCTTTGGGACCATCTTCATGCTGGTAAGGAGCCCCCAGATAGGGTGGAAGGCATGGCAGAGCCCCAGGGCAGAGCACAGCCCTGCCCTGCTCTGCTCCAAGTCTCTAGCTCACCTGTCTTCCCTAGAGCCCTTCTGTGGATGCTCCGCTGCGGCTCGTGCTGCAGGTCTCTGCTCCCCCTCGCTGCATCATCAAACCCTCGGGGACCTCAGTCTCTGTTTCTGCTTTCCTGAACATCTCACTGGTGCCCCCAGACCGCCCACCTGTCCAGCTCTCCAGCATGGCCATGGTGAGCGGGGTGCTGGGGCTCCTTGCACAGTCACCCCAGTGTATACAGGAGCAGTGTCCCACCTCCTTTGTTGTAAGGCCCTGGTGTCACTGAGCAGAGGGACACGGGACCTGTGGGTTGTGCTGGTCTGGTCGTCCTCTGCCTGCTTTGAGTCAGCCCTCTCCCTCCCCAGGAAACCAAGCTGAGTGCCAAGGTGTTTCTGCAAGGGAAGGCGCTGCGTGTGCAGCTGGACCTACGACGGTATGGCTGGGGTCCTGTGGGGGCATGGGGAGAGTCCCCTCCATCCCTTACTCACAACTGCTTCCTTCTGTCCAGGTTTCGCATCTTTTCCAAGCAGTCAGCGCTGGAGTCACTTGCGGTGAGAGCATGGTGATGGCCTGGGAATCTTTACACCCAGCCACAGCATAGGATGGGCTAGGGAGAGGCTGTCTATTCAGGATCCCCACTTACAGCCCTCCCTGCCCTGGCTGGCAGCTCTGTCACTACACTGACCCCAGCTCTTCTCCTGCAGCTGTTCTCACTGCAGGCCCCACTGAAGACCCTGCTGCAGCTGACCATCATGCCCATCATTAACGGTAGGCATCACTGCTCCCACATAACTGGGAGTGTAGACAGGGGCATAGGAGGGCTCAGCCTCATCCCAGCTCTCCCCCTCTGCAGAGAGGACAAAGAAGGGGGTGCAGATCCCACTGCCCGAAGGCATGGACTTCACCAGGGAGGTGGTCACCAATCACGCGGTAGGTGGTGGGATGGGACAGCCTGTGCCTCCATGTCCTGCTGGGAAGGGCATTGTCATCTCCAGCCTTGAACTGACCCTTTTCCCTCTGCAGGGATTCCTCACAGTGGGAGCTGATCTCCACTTCTCCAAGGGGCTGCGGGAGGTGATTGAGAAGTACCGCCCAGTGCCGACGGCCACTGCCTACTCCAGCTCCCGGCCTGCAGAGCCCAGCCTGGACCCCAGCTCACTCTAGCTCTCCTCCCTGGACCAAAGGCAGATCCCGGGCTGGACCCGCAGACTGTAGGTAGGAAGCAGCTTCCTTGGTACCACCAGCATATTGTCAGGGCGTCCAAGCCCTAGTGGGGTGCAGCAAGGTGGAGAGAGTGCTCTGGGAACCCCTGCTGCACCCCTGCTCATTACACTAATAAACCACCTGACTCCAACCACATGGCCTCGTTGCTTGGAGGACATGTCCATCTGGGGCACATGGTGGAGAGATGATGCTGCTGCCCATCTTGCTTCCGTGGGAGCAGGCACAGCTTAGTGCAGTGCCAGAGGGCTCAGAGTGACTGTGCTGCCGCCACTTAGGTGGGTCACTTGTTTCCAGGATGCAGGGACCCCTGTAGGGAGGGCACAGTTCACAGAGCCTAGGTCTCCCTGGCACAAGGTGTTGGCACTCACTGGTGCTCCTCAAAGAGTAGAGGAAAGTGAAGCAAGGGCTGGCACAAAGGTGTGAGGAGGAGCAGAACCACCTTGGTCAGAGTTTATTGTGAGATCCTGAAGCACTGCGTGCCCTGGCAGTAGGATTGTTGTGGTAATGGTGGTAAGTCTCCTTCAGTGGGAGCAGTGGTGGTAGGAGCCAAGGTAGAGGTGAGCAAGTCCCAGCCGCCCCCTGCTGCTGTTCCTCATAGCCTGCCCAGGCTGTGTGTTTGGGGGGGCTGAGGGGAAGTGCTGGGGTTTGCTCCCTGCCTGGGAGAGAAGCAGCTGCTGCCGCAGACAGGGAGGAGGCAAGACAGGAAGCCACAAGGGAGGAGGGGCCTGCAGCAGGTTCACAACGCCTCTCCCACAAGAACAGAGTCCCCCAAGGCCATGCTCCCTACCCATGGCAGGCAGCCCTGTCCAGCTGGGGGGAAGGCTGCAGGCGTGGCAGGTCCGTGGTGTAGCCGAGCAGCAGCGAGGACGGGCTGTGCAAGGTGCCGGCAGTGAGGGCAGGTGGGGTGGTGAGAGCAGCTGCAGTGCCCGGAGCTACCTCTGCAGCTCTTAGTAAGGCTGGTTCTTAATGAAGCGGCAGAACATGGTGAAGGCAGCAAGTGGCCGGTCTGTGGGCACCATGTGGCCAGCGCCCTGTAGGAAAGGGGCAGTGGTGGTCAGTGTGGCTGCAGTGCTGCCACAGCCCAGCCAACACCACCCTACCCTGACTGCAGCCTTGGTGTCCAGCACACCCACCCACAGCCAGATCCTTGGTCCCCAGAGCCCTCAGCCCTACCTTGACAGTGAGGAAAGCGATGTTGGTGAATTCCTTCACAAAGCCACCGATCTGGTTCTCACCATTTTCAGTGTAGAGCCAGGGCCGGCGAGCCACCTGCACCTGGGAGTAGCAGCAGTGCCTTCAACACCTGCAGCTGGCCCTGCCCATGCTCCTGCCACAGCCAGCTACAGCACAAAGCCCAGAGCCAGTGACTGGCCTGGACTGGGCCCTGCCCATTTACCTTCTGGCACAGGGAATCCACAAACCACTCATCCCCGAGAAAGTTGCAAGCCATGTCGACGTCCCCATTGTACACCAGGATCCGGTATTTCTGTGTAGCAGACAGAAAGTGAGCTGTTGGCAGGGCAGTAGTCCCAGCCAGGTAGGAGGCTGAGCTAGCAGAGATACTCCCAGGGTCTGTGGGCTCCCCTGCACACACCGTGGTTCCGAGCAGCTTGAGGTACTGCTCATTCATCTGCATGTACACGCGCTTGTAGTTCCGGTTCACGTCAAAGCTGTGGAAGAAGTATTGGTATCATGTCTGCTCCTTCTCAAAGTAGTCCCTCCCTGCCCACAGCTTGCTCACCTGCACACCTGCCACTCTGAGGCCTTGGGGGAGATGTGCAGAGCCTTCCGCACCTCGGGGGAGTTCAGATACATGCTGGGGGCTGTGGAGTTGGTGCAGGGCGGGTCCATCCGCACCTTCTTTCGGGCTACTGGCATCCGGAATAGGTTCTGGGAGAGTCGGGAGAGTCACTGTCACAGCAGCACCTGCCCCATGGAGCAGCTTTCTGCCCCTCCTGCCCACAGCAGCACAACTGGCCAAACAGAGGTTGCTCACAGCCCAGCAGCATGGGCACCACGGCTCACCTGCCGCCAGGAGAGCCTCAGTGGCATGCGGATGAAGGAGTTGCCTAGGTCATGTGTGATGAGATAATCACCCTCGTACCTGTAGCCAGAGCGAGTATGAGGACAGACTGAAAACCCTGGAGAACAAGGGCTAAGGGGTCTCCTGGAGGGAATCCTCACATATCATCTATCTGTCCCAGAGGGGCCCCCTGCCCAGCCCACTATGTCCCTCTGTGCCAGTACAACCAAAGTGAGCTGGTACCTATAGAACCAATTTTCCCTGGGGCCACTCTCACCTCATGCTCCCTGGGACACCTCCATCGCACGGGGCATAGAGGTTGTAGATATTGAGGCCAGACTCCTCTACAATCTGAATCATCTCCCCCATCTGCAAGGAACCACAAGAAGGAGTCTGGGACTCAGCAGGACCACTCTGGAACTGTGGGCCCACTGAGAGCCAGGTGTGTGCTGCTTGGCACACATATAGGGGCTCTGGCTCCCCTCACCTTGAGTGTGCAGTTCAGGTTGGCGTTGTCATGGAAGTTGCACTTCCCCTGGGAGCAGCAGAAGGTCTGCAGGTCTTTCCACATCCTGTGGGCAGAGACCAGGACCACTTGGACCAGCTGGCAACACTGACATGACAGCTACCCTGCAGCTCTCCGTCCAGTGGCCATAAGGCACACAGCTTGGCCCCATGCCCTCTTTACCCCACAAACAAGCGCACCCATGGGAGCTGCCTGGGATAAGGAGCTACAGCCCAGCTGCTGGCCCAGGGCATGTTAAATGCTACTCTTATCTCAATACCACCAACCAGCCCCAGCTTCAGCTGTGCACCCATCCCGCTTGCACAGGGGTGGCACATCCAGCACTCCCTCTGCTCTTACTCGGTCCCCAGCAGCCCGTGGTAATAGGCAAAGTAAACCAGGGAGTTGTCATTGATCTCATAAGATGAGAGGCCGTTTCCCACAGCGATTCCCTGCGAGGCAAGAAGAAAACAACCCTGTTGTGTTCCAGCTCCCCGCGGGGCAGTCACAGCTCAGCAGCCGCAGGCAGGAAGCAGATGTGGAACTGTTTACTCTGCGGAGGGAACAGGGAGGGTTGGGGGTGCCTGAGGACGCTCCCCCGGCAGCAGGGACAGACACGTCCACCAGCAGCTGCTGCCAGAACCTCAGGAAGAGATGAAAGGCTGCAGGGCCAGGCATGCCCTACATCCCAGCTGGTCCCACCCCGGCTGTGCCAAGCCCTTTGCTCCCCGGCTGGGCAGAGCCAAGCTGCCCACCTTCAGGTTGAGGCTGGGGTCCTGCATCACCCACTCCGCCAGTGTGGGAATGTAGACCCCTCCATAGCTCTCCCCTGTCAGGAAGAGATCGTTCTTGGAGTACTCAGGGAAGAGCCGGAGGAAGTCTTTCAATGCCAGGTAGTTGTTGTGAGCAACCTGCAGGGGAGAAGGTGGCATGGTCAGGTGGGGAGGCTGCACCCCATGCCCAGGAGGGGGCAGGCAGGAAGCAGGGCTCTCCTTGCACCCCAGTCACTTGCCTCCGTGTCATTTGTGCCATAGTTCTTGTCATCGGAGTATGAGAAACCAACACCAGCAGGAGACTCCACGTAGAGGATGTTTGCAATCTGTGAGGAAAGCAGAGGAGCCAGCAATCAAGGAAGACCCTCTGGCTCAGTGGGGCCAAGGGCTGCTGGCCCCGCCCATGACAGCACCCACAGGAGCGTGGCCCGCCCCAGGGCTGTGCTGGGGTGGCCACATTCCTGTGCTGCTCAACAGCACACTCGAGAGGAGGGTGTGTTGGGTGGGAGGGGAGCGGCGGAAGGGTCGGCTCCATGGAGAGGGCAGGAAGAACTGATTCAGGGCCATCCCATCTCAAAGCCACAAAGGGAAACAGTGCCTGTACCTTATTCCATGCGTACTCATTGTACTTCAGTGTGACCCCATCGGGCTGGATCTGAGGAAGAAGGTGGTGACTGATGGGCAAAGCAGGGCAGGACACAGCGGGATGGCTCGTGCCACACAGCCGGTCATCCCCTGAGTCCTTGAGGCATGGGATAGCAGTGACTACTAACCAGGAAGGGGCCATGCTCCTTGAGGAAGCCCTCCATGGAGCTGCAGCCAGGGCCCCCGTTCAGCCACAGCACTAGGGGGCTGCTCTGGGGATTGCTCTGAGCCTCCACGAACCTGTGGACGTGCAGCTGTGAGTGCCCGATGCCAGCCGAAGCCCCCCCGCCCCCCATCGCCAGGCGCAGTCCCACGTACCAGTAGTGCAGGTACTTGCCCGGCCCGGCGCAGAGGTAGCCCGAGAAGTGGCGGAAGGAGGGCTGCTTTGACAGCCCGGGCAAGTAGGTCACCTCATGGTCCGGGGGGGCGGCCTGGCTCAACCCCAGCAGCAGCAGCGACGACAGCAACACTGGCCCCATCTGTGGTGGGCGGAAGGGACGGTCAGGGACGGCTCCCAGGAACGGCCGCGGCAGCGCGCCCGCGAGCGCCCCGGCCCGGCTTCCCCGGCCCGGCCCCCCACTCGGGGCTGGCCCCCGGCCCGGTCCAGTCCTATCCAGTCAGCTCCCTTGGCGCCGCTCCCGGTCCCTCCATCCCGTCCCCCCGGTCCCGTCCCGGTGTCCCCCCAGTCCCGCTGACCGCGGCCGCTCCCGGCGCGGCGCTCGCAGGCGGCGGTCACGGCGGGCACATGACACGCGCCCATATGACCTGCGGCGCTCACGTGAGCGGGGCGGGGCCCCACAGCGGCCAATCAGCGCCCCGGGGGCGGCCGGCCCCGCCCCGGCCCCGCCCACGCACGTGGGAGCGGCCCCGGACCGGGACAGTGGAGGGGGGGCACCGATGAAGCCCCCGCACCCCAACGGGGGCAGCCGGTGGGGGATGCAGTGCGCCGGTGGGCACTACCGGGCACCACCGGTTACAGCTGGGTACGGGGCACTGCTGGGTATGGCCAGTAGAGCTGCGTGCCACCCAGCACTGCTGGGTAAAGCCGGGCATCACCAGGCACTGCTAGTCATCACCGTGTGATGACCACTGGCCACTGCTGGCCATAGCTGATACCATTGGAGACCACTGGGCACTGCCAGGCACTGCTGGACAGCATGGGCACAGCCAGGCTCAGGCACCCCGGGCCAGGTAGCAGTGCTGGACACTCCAGTGTGGAATGTCTGTAGCCGGTTGTCCCTAGCAGCCATAGGGCGCCCCCCCCCCCAACCTCCCCCCATGGCACTAGGACTCTCCTTGAGCCCTCTGGTTGTCCCTCCCAGCTGGGCTGTCACCACTTCACAGCAGCTGTGACAGGGGCAGTTAAAAATAGCTCCGGCAGCAATGGCTGCCCGGTGCCGGCTTGCTGCACGCTTCCACCACATCCACGGCGCCAATATCCGTTTGGATGCCTCACACACGCAAGCCACACGAGTGGAGAGCTTCGCCAACGGGCTGTGCTTCAGCCAGGAGCCTCTGGCACCTGGGCAGATCTTCCTGGTGGAGATTGAGGAGAAGGAGCTGGGCTGGTGCGGGCACCTGCGCGTGGGACTGACGGCTCATGATCCTCAGAGCCTGGAGGTAGTGCCTGAATACTCTCTGCCAGACCTGGTCAACATGGGGAACACCTGGGTGTTTGCCATCACGCGGAACCACAACCGTGTGGTGGTGGAGGGGGAGGAGGTGGCGCCGCACGGGCGGCCCTGGGAGCCCTTCCTGCTGATCGAGCGGGTGCGGATCCCCCGTGACACGCTGGTGGGGCGCAGCCGGCCCAGCCGCTACAGCCACATCCTGGATGACCTGTACAAGATGAATGTGCTGCCCGCGACCGCCCGGCGCAGCCGCATCGGGGTGCTGTACGCCCCGCAGCCCGACGGCACCGCCGACATGCACATCGTTATCAACGGCGAGGACATGGGGCCGAGCGCCAGGGGCCTGCCCACCACCCGCCCGCTCTATGCCGTTATTGACGTCTTTGCCTCCACCAAGAGTGTCCGTGTCATCCCGGTGGATTATGGCTGTAGGTACCTGTGGCACGTGCTGTGTGGGCCAGGAGTGGGGGAGCTCTGGTGGGGTCAATCCTATAGTCGCCAGGAGTGGGAAGGTTGGTGTGTGCCACTGGGCAGAGGGACACGCGGTAAGAGGGCACAGGAAGGCTTCTGGTCCTTGTGCAGCACAGGCGAGATCCACAGTACTGCTGCTGGGCAGTGTCTGATGAAAGCATGGGCACTGTGCTGGGGCCAGGGGAGAGACCCCCAGCAGCAGCAGTCAGGCAGAGCCCCCCTGGTCGCCCTTCCCAAGCAGAGTGATGGGGTTGGGTGTTTGGGGCTGTCCCACAGCTGTGAGGCCTTGCTGTGCCCAGCCTTGCCTACAGCATGTAGCAGCCAGAGCCAACCAAGATCCTGCCCTGGCATCAAAACATCCACCTACATCTACCACGGGTCAGCACACTGCGCCTATGCACCTGCCACGTGCCCCAGACATGATGTTCCCTGGGCAGACACACTGTGATGCCATCGGAGCCTGAGCATTATCCTGCATCCCTTGGCTTGCTGGGAGGGACCAGGCTAATCAATGCTAATTAGCTGGAAAAATGAGGAGATGAATCAGGTGAGACAGAGCCAGAGGAAGAGTTAGAGCCAGAGTACTGGCTGTCCCCAGCACTGGGAGGCACTGCTTCACATGCTGGTGTCAAGAGCAGCTGCTTCTATCCCCAGGCTGGAACCTGGTATTCTCCCTGGTGTAACACCTGAGGAGAGTGCTGGCTGCAGCTGTCAGTACGCACGCTGCTGAGCCACCCATGGCTCCAGGAAGTGGTATCACAGGAAAATGCAGATTTTGTGCAGGTGCCCAAGGGGATGTTTCTCATGATGGTCTGCCCCAAAGGCATGGTGGGCACTCTCTGCAGGCAGTGCAGCCCCAGCCTGTAGAGACTCACCCAGCAGGCTAGTGCTGAGGCCAGTACAGGCAGACCAAGGGACTGGGATGGAAAAGAAGCACAGCATGAATATGTGAGACCCTGAAGAGTTGCTTGACAGGTGCCAGAGAAAGAAATGCAAACCAGGCACAGTCACACACAGCTTAGGCACATAACTGTCTCTCAACCTTCCTCCTAATAACGAGAAGAACTTTGCTGCCTGGGGCCCTTGAGCTTCCAGCCCTGCTGGAGCAGCCTGGCACCAGCCCCCGCACAGCCAGTTCGATCCCGGGGCAGGACGATGCCACAGAACAAACTAACCTACCGCTGCCTTTAACCACAGTGCCTCTGAGAAGCTCCGCCAGCTCCTCCACCCCTCTGTGCTCAGCCTCACTGCCGACTTGCCCAGCTCAGGTACACTGTCTGTTCTCTTCCAGTTCCTTCACTGCAGACGCTGTGCCGGCTGGTTATCCAAAAACACATCGTGCACCGCCTGGCCATCGATGGCCTGGACTTGCCCCCACTACTCAAGAGCTTCTGCCAACATGAGTGAGGTATTCAGGGTGCTGCTGGGCTGCCCCCCACATCAACAGCCCCCCAGTGATGGCTGCCTGGCAGGCTCTGTGGCCGTCCCTGCCCACTCACCCCAGCATGTGCTGCTCAAGGGCTGACATGAGAGCAGGGTAAAGTGGGGTTGGGATTTTCCCCACACTGATGGTGTGGCATGCTCAGAGCATGGGCAGGGGGATTGATGTGGGTCAGAGAGAGCAATAAAGTGCTTCCAGACAAGACTCTGTCAAAGGAGGCTTGGGAGGCTGGGACCCCCCTGTGCTTCAGGAACCCCTCGTGGGAGCAATTCCCCCACCAGTGAGGAAGGGAGCACCGGCCACAGCCCTGTGGAGTTCAGGACATGTTTCCAGACCTGGAATTTCACTGGGACTATCTGGGTGGATCAGAATGAGTACTGGGGCTGGTGGAGTGTGGGAGGGCACAGCACAGCACTCACGTGGAGGTAAATTACAGCCGGACGCTCATCCTGGCCGGGCAGTTTCACTCTTGGGAAAGATGTTTACCCAGAGAATGATGAGTTATTTCCTGTGTGTTCAGCTTGGAGGGGGACGAGTCAGATGCTGGAGCACCCAGACAGCAGTGCTGGCAGCAGCCACTGCTTGGGCACGTGTCTGTGGCCACAGAGCCAGTCACAGTGACCTGGTGTGGGGCACAGCCATCCTGACTTGGAGCTCCATGCCCTCGGATCCGTGCCCTCAGCCAGACCCTTCAACTCCTGGCAGGTGGGGACGGCAGCCTGGCATCCTGCAGTGCCTACATCGGGCTGGAGGGGAGGCAGGGTGGCAGCTGTGCAGAGGAACAGGCTGCAGGGGAGAGGTCTCCTAAAATCACAAGGGTGCCCATGGGAGCCAGAAAGATAGCAAAGGGGCTGGCAAATCCTTCTGGGCCTCTTCCACAGCACAACCAAAAGGGAAACAAGCAGCTCTAAGCTAACAAAAAGGTGCTTTAAAGAAACATGATGCTATATTTAGGCAGAGACTCGATAGTATCAGATCATGTTACAAAACTCTTGCTCAAAGGAAATCCCCAGCCCGCAACCACAGTCAACTCCATCTACACCAAAGTGTTAATGAAGGAATTGCTAAATGGGGAAAACACGGACCAAACCACAGCAATGGAGCAAGGTCTCTGACATTCCTTGCTATGTCCCAACAACAGGCTGGGAGCTGCTGGGGCTGGAGCTCATCTGGCTGCGATGGGGCTGGGGAACTCACCCACACCAGAGCAGCACCCACAGACCAAGGCGTTTACTCTCCAGGCTGTTTTCCCTCCCCCACCCTTGCGTGAAGCCTTTGGTCCCCACCTCCCTGCAGTGTTATCTGCCCGGCAGTGACCCCCGCACACGGGGGCGGGTTCCTCTTTCTTGAGGAATTGAGAGCAGCTGCTGCAACCACACAAACAACACCCCTGCTCTATAGTGAGCTGCAGCACAGTGGGATTGTCACCTTCAGGAGCTGCCACCTCCTGCCACCTGAGGCACCACGGTGAGACACTGCCCAAAGCCCTGCCCGATTCCCCATGCTCTGCTCCCTGGGCAGGGAAGGGTGGCTGCAGCTGGCACAGGGACAGACTCAGCTCCCAGACAACACGGGGGTGATTTATTGGCTCTGTTGCACAACACCTCACAGCTGGATGCTGCAAGGACCTGCGGGTGCTGGCCACAGATGAAATCGTTTTGAAACATGTTATTGTACCTAGATTCCTAAAAGTCTCTGGGTCCTTATGGGATTAATTTAAGAAACCACAAAGAGC